AGAAGAATATTGTGAGGCTTGATGTCAAAATGTAGAATTTGCATGTCACAACCTCGATGTAGATATTCGATCCCTTGAGCCACTCCAAGAGAAATCTCATACATTTTCCTGCAACTTATGGGGTTGCTTCCTTCTTTGCAATAAATGTATTTATCAAGAGATCCATTTGGCATGAAGTTATAAATTAGGGCACGCTTTGATCCCTCAACACAATAACCAACAAGTTGAACCATATTAAAATGGTGAATCCTCCCAATAGTAGCAACCTCACTTATGAAATCTTGTCCATTAGCTTTAGGCTTCTCCAACATTTTAACTGCTACAAATCGACCACTGCGTAACTTTCCTTTAAATACAGAGCCATAACCTCCTTCACCCAACTTCTCATTGAATCTACTGGTCATCTTTTTAATATCTGAGTAAGTGTACCTTTTCGGAATGAGGTTGTTATCACTTTGCAGGAAATCTTCTATGCTGCTATCCATTAACAAATGCATTCTTCTTCGCTCTTTGTAGATTAGAAGAGCAGCCAGAAATGGAACCCCAAATATAGATTTTATTGGGAAAAATGCACCTGCCAAGCAACATCACAAAAAGAACAAATGACATGCTTTATTGGATATATATGTGCGTCATAACCTTCCTCTTTGCTTCCATTTATTTTTTCTTCTGCCTGATAGGAAATACAATTCTGCACTAAAGGAATATGTAAACTCTTACCGAGCATCAGCCAGTTGTGAATATCTGCAAAAGATACAAGAAAAAGTGACCAAAATCAAAGACTTGACATAAGTTTGAAATTTCGAAGCACAAATATATATACTCTGCCCTGCTTAATGGTTGACTAATTAGTAGACTACATCATATGAGGAAGGTGAAGAAGAGAGAAGGCAATTAAAGTAGCCGGACAAAATACAAGTAATAAAACTATTTAAAATTGTTAGAATTTTTATTTTCATAGAATATTTGACGTACTTTCTCCATATGTCTTTCTAGTTTTCAGCCCTGTACCACCTTATTTCAAGTAAAACTAAACAAAACAAATTATTGAAAAGGAGAAATAAAGCGTAACAAAAAGTCATAGATGATAGATTTAAACAAGTGACATTTGGAGAAATTCAGAAAGTTTGAGTAAGAAATTGTAGACTTGGAATATAGCGAGTAATTCCAAGAACGACTTACCCCAGTACCAGTGCTCTGTGTAGCTCCGCCTGCGAAAGCCAAAATAAAGCTCAAAGCCGTACCCCAGTGCGCTGTGTATGTCATGATAAGAAAAGTTTCCGTCCTTTTCGTACAAGAACGAATTACTCATCAAAGTCGTCCACTCTATTCTGCACCCGTCCTCAATATCTGATGCCGTTATATCCCCTTGCTTGACATACGTTCTCATCACAGACGAGTTCACGGCTTTTGCACACTTGAAGGAAGTTATAGGTGTTGTTCTTGATGCTAATTCAAGATCACTATGAAAAGTTAAGTTGTAAATGGAAAGCGAATAACGGGGGATGGAGGAGAAATCATTGTTGCGAATGCCAGGATCTACAACTCGGATTGTGAAGTTGTCGTAGTTGATTGCCTGCACTGAGTAGTTTCCTGAATGTACTTCCAATACTGTGAGGTTGTTTTGACAAGAGACGTTGTAATTCCAGTTTGTGCAGTTGCTTTGATTTGGATCGTTGGCTAGTCGAAAAGGGCTGGTTATGTTGTGGATGATACCACAAGCAGACGAGATGCACGTACCACGGCTCTCCTTAATTAATGGACTACGTTTGCGAAATGAAACTAAAGGCAAGAAGGCACTAAGACCAAGCCAAAATACAGTTGCTATAACGAGAACACATATTCTGCAAGTGCTTGCCATGGAGAGAGAATTTTTAGACACACTTCTTCAATCCGCTAGCTAGCTTTGGTCAAGCAGCTGCTGCATATTTCTATTGCTTGTGAGTCAATTCAAAGTTGTTGCCATTTACATTGTGTGGTGCATATTGTCACGACTTAGAGGTCAAAACCGCGTTTGACAGGAGCTTGATAGATATATATATATGCCAAATCCATGGACCTGCTTTTGCATATTGCCAATGACTTTCTTCCAAGTGGGGACAACGGCTGTCGCTGAAGATTATTTATTTATTTAAAAAAATTGTAATTATTATGGAGTATATACTTGTACATACAGGAGTATATTATCCGCTTCATGTACTTGATACTGAATGATATGAAGTTTAGTTAATTACACTGTACAGAAAGAAAAATGGATTATTATGGAAGATGCCTTTTTGAATATTAGTAAGCAATCTTCAAAGGTGGAATTTAACCAAATTATGGAACGATATTGTCTCCACCTAGGTTTAATATTTTGGGTGGGTGTAAGCTCAATGGAAGTGTAAGGCTTTTAACTTAAAAAGTCTCGGTGCAATTAATTATGACCACTTATATTTTTGAACTATATTATTATTGTAGGGTTATTTACTGTAAACGTCCTTGAAGTTTGCCCCAAATTGCAATTGGGTCCGTGAACTTTTTTTTTGAGGCAATTACATCCTTTAATTGAACAAACAATTCCAATTAGGTCCTGCCATCCAACTCTGTCAATTTGCCCATCAAAATGAGGGGTAAAAGCGTCCTTTTGAGTATGAAGACTCACCTCTTTTTTCTTTGGGAAATATGCTGATATAATCACTTTTTACAAAGGGAATTCTGAAATGATCACGTTACAAATTGTATTCAGATATAATCACTTTGGGACGGGAAATTACCTAAGTGCCCTCCATATAAAAACATATCTATTGTGGAGTTATTGGCCATTGATTGCCGACCTAACACTTCTGACTTCTCTCTCTGTCTCAGCCTGTCTCTCACGGTTCTCTCTTCTTCTCTCAGCGCTCTCTCTCCATCGACCACCACCACCACTCTCTTTCTCCCTCTGTCGCGAAAACCTAAGCAGCACTCTCTCGTTCTCTCTTTGCAGTCAAAGTTAGGGTTTGTTGAGGGGGTTCTTGAAGGTGAAAGAGAGGGTTTCTTCGTTAAATGCTCTCTCCCTTCAACAATGTCTCAGTTCCCTCTCTTTTCATGTCTTCAATTGACGTCTTTCTCTTCTCCTCTGCTCCTTCAGGGCCTCAAAAAACCCTAATTCTTGGTTTCGGTTCCGACTTTTTCACATACTTCCTCCTCATTCTCAATCCTCTCACAGACAAAACCCGTGCTTTTCTTTAGGTGTTTCTGGGATTTCCAATTCGGTTCTCTGCGCAAAACGAGTGATTCTAAGGTGGGTTTTGTATTTGTTATTGACTAGTTTGTGTTTTTGTATGGTTTTCATTTGAGAAGGATTAATTCACTAACCTGTGACTGATTTTGTGAAGTTTAGTAATTAGAGAGATTGGAAATTTCTGTATTTTAACTGTGAATTACTTCATGCTTGGATGAAACTTCTATTAGTCTGATTGATTTTGCTCTATGGACGAAGAAGTGCCTCAATTTGCTATTTGTCAGCTAGGTTAGAACACGAAACAGTACAGGATTTCATCGCCCGTTTTAAGAAGCTCAAGATGAAATGCAAAATCCCTATGGATGAGAAACACTTCATCAAGATGGCCCAGAATGCTCTCAGGCTACCCCTTCGTAAGAAATTCGACGATCCGGAGTTTATGGACTTGCAAGACGTGGCTCAAAGAGCCGGGAAGTATGAACTGTTGCTCCAGGAATAGGCGCAAAGAAGAAATAGTTCTAAGCCCGTTTACTTCAAAAACCCGGTCCATCATCTGGAAGTCATCAACGAATTTGCTGAAGCCAGCGAAGAGAGCGTCGGTCCGGAGGTGTCACTCGCAGAGATCGTTCAAATAAAGAATCTGATCACCTGCAAGGCAGTAATGAGACCAGGTAAAGAACAGCGGAGTAACCCTCCCCCAACCGGAGGTTTCGTACCCTATAAGCAAAAACATAAATCGTATTCCTTCGATCTCTCCAAAGCGGAAAATATCTTCGATGAGCTGCTCAGAGGGAAGGTGATCAAACTGGACGAGAAACACGTATTCCCAAAACAAGAAGAAGTGAAAGGCAAATTGTTTTGTAAGTGGCATAATTCCTTTTCTCATGCTATTAATAATTGTGTTCAGTTTAAGGATGCTATCCAGGATCTCATCAACGAAGGCAAGATCCTCTTGGATAAACCGATCACTATGAGAATCGACAACGAGCCGTTTCCCACTCACATGGTCGGGGTCAACTGGCCCGAAAGGTAGAATAAGAGGAGGATCGTAGTGGATATTGAGAAAGCAGGGAAGGCTACCTCGTCATTGATAGAAAGACCGAAAGCGACCATCACAGCCGAAATTGTGATGTGTAGCCGATGCAAATGCGAGTGCGAACTCGAGATACCTACCGCAGGAGGAAACATAGATGAGCAACTACTTCAAAATATAGTCGAAGCTGACTAGAATTATCACAGGTCCGAAGCCCGAAACTATAGCCCTTTTAGCCCACGTCAGGGCCTAAAAGGTAATTATGAAAAGTTTCGAGAAGTAAGCAGAAAAGCCATCCAAGAGCCATTTATACCAAAGAAGGCCGAACGCATAAGACTAGAAGATAGAGACGAATGGCTCACGAGATTGGTCCGACCTGAATCCGGAGCATCATCTGCACAGCCTGGGAAGATGCGCGCTCAGAATGAAGGAAATAACGGACCATCTACCACGTCCAATTCAACCAATGTGAAGCCAATCGAGCCCGGTAAAGTTGCAACGGTCCGAAACGGCAGGTGGTACCTAGTGGGAAAAGGAGGCAAACCTGAGAAGGAACTGACCAACACCCAGGCCCGAAGAGTCAGGAGGCAATACGGGAAGGCCAGAAGATATGCAGAAAACCAGACGGTCAACCTCGACTCCATTGCCAACACCAAGGACAGAGACCATGAAGTGCAAAGTAGAAAATGACCAATCACTGGAGTCCTTAGACCAAAAGCATCACCATCCTTCCCAAAGATCCAGGAAGAACAGGAATCAAAAGAACCAAAGCCACAACACCATGCTCCAGCTGATCAGTCGCCACTTTATTTCTTTAGAGAAATCAAATATACAATTGAGTGGTGGTGGCCGTCGTTGTGATAACAGGAGTGATGCATGTAGTAGCCGTGGAGCACAAAACCACATTTTCGTATGCAGAATAGGGATGTAAATGTGGTTTACTTGTACATTGTGGATGCTCTATTATTAGAGTAATGCTATTTAGACACACAACATTAACCACCTTAGCTGACCACCTTCACTTAAATTAGGGTAATCTGCTGAATTGCCTCCTGAACTTGTACATAACTCTCAATTTACCCTATGACCTTTTATTTAGCGAATTAAGGGCTTGAATTAAATTTTATTATCAATGTTCCCCCTATCGTCAAAATTTGAACATTTGATCCATCCATTTGACTTACGTTGACTCTCTTTTGAGGGTTATTTTTGTCATTCAGCATGGATTGAATTACCTAGGTGAACCTCACTTCTCATTTCGCCCTCCAAGCTAGGTCCTCCATTTGTTTTTGGCGATTTCCATCTATCTGGAGAGAGAGAGAGAGAGAGAGAGAGAGAGAGAGAGAGAGAGAGAGAGAGAGAAGATTCCCAGCAGCTCAGAAATTCATACCTTCAACTAATGTCTCATCTCAAAAATCACCATATTTGAAGGGAAGATTCCCAAACCAGCACACCAGACCATACTATTAGAAAGAGGTTTAATAAATTTGGGTCAGGTTTGATTTTGTGCTTGAGGTGGTTGTGGGTTGCAGGTATGGGTCAATTCTTTCTTCTTCTTTTTTTTCTATTTTTGAGGGAGGGATGGGTGTGCTGCGAATTCTTTTTAGGAGGGCTAGGCAATGGTGCGGAGGGGGTGGGGTGTGGCTATTGCAGGTCCAAGAAGGGGAAGGGGGCTGAGGGAGATATCAGGTTTGATTTTGTGCTTGAGGTGGTCGTGGGTTGCAGGTATGGGTCTGGTTGATAGTCACAATTCTTTTTTTGTTTTGGGAGGGATGGGTGTGCTATGTAACTTTTTTTAGGAGGGCTAGGCAATGGTGTGGAGGGTGGGTGGG